TCATAAATAGACTCAAGTTTAAGACTTTACAGTGGAAAACAATCTCCTGTGCATGAGGTTTAATAAAACAAGTTACATTTTAAAAATCGTTGAAACAAAAACTGAAAAATTAATCCTGAAACAATTTTTAGCCATGCTTGAAATATTACTAATATAAACCTTTACCAAATAGATAATGGTGGGGATTAGACATGTACATTTATGGTAAAGCTTACATTTTCTCAATTTAATGTCCAGGCCCTAACTAGGGGAGAGTCACAACTCATTAGGAGGAGGTAAGAGAGAAGAGTGGTGGGATAGAAGTCAATTTAAAAAGCTGTTTCAGCATGGCTGGGATGTCAGTGTCCTATAATTCTGGACAAAACTTGCACTGTTTCAAAGTATGATCCAATTGCATCTGTTAAGGATACTCCTGGAACTGGCAAAGTAGCAACCTCTTCATCTGTGAGCTCACGGGCAAGCTGAATCTCTGGGACTGACACGGCGTCTTCATGGTGACTGTGAGGCCCATTCCAGTCAATTCCATAGTTTTCGGTCACCTGAAAGAAGAATAACCTTAATTACTTATTTAACAGTGGTTTCAAATGTCATTACACAAGGCACCTGCAGCTGATACTTAAAATGAAATATAGATTAATTTTAATAATGGTGTTCAAATGTTGAAAATTAATATAACCTCTACAAGCTCCAACACAGTGGCTGGCTCTCTATATCTTGTCCATAGTTGCTGGGGTGATTGATTCCTTTCAGTTCTAAGACCATGACAGTTCCATGCAGCTCTGAAAGTCTCGAGATGTTTCTGTATTTGATGAAGGAAGATCCGGTGCAGGGTGTAAAGATGGACTTCATTGTCTGGATTTAGTGTTCCCCGATCTTCCAGTGAAACAAATATCTGGTAGAAGAGGTCTAGAACATGCTCATAGACATCTCTCCACATCCTCTCTATTCTGTGAACAGGATGAAATTGACAAGGTGTTAAATTCTTCGTAACATATTCAAAAGCTTTACAATACAGAACTGATTCAGATGCCTGGTTGCCATGCAGATGTATTTACCGTTGATTGTGGACGCTTCTGCCTGTGGTGTGATTATTCCTGTCCGTACCTCTGTTCCTGATCATGAATTCTGCAACATCTGCATTCTCCCCACCTTTATCAGACCGAACCCTTGATGGCAGCCCATATTGCTCAACAGCTTCCATAAAGCTTTGCAAGACTGTGCTTGCCCTATTATTACCAGCTACAGTAAGGTAAACCACTAATCTACTGAATCCATCCACCCCGCCATGCACCACAAATCTCCACCTGTAAATTTTGAACACAAAGTTTTATTGTAGAGAAATTTTTAAGACAGCTGTAGAATGATGTATTGATCATCTGTCAGTATTTCCAATACCTTATGAGCTTATGGTTACCATCAATATGCCAAAGATGATTTGGGCCAGGAACAGAATACTGCCGTCGTCGCAATATTTGCAGCCTTAAGCGTCTCATATGCACTCCCTCTGCATCAACCCTGCGTAAAGACTCCTGCAGTCTTGAGACTGAAATGAGAATAATTTCACTACATCACCTGAATAATACTATTGACCAGCACTAAATGCCATTGGGGTTTCAGATATACAGCAAATTACTACTGCAGTATTGCAGCATAAATCCACAAGTTAGCAGGAACTGTCAGTGTGGTGTTTGCTTGCCTGCATGATTGTCAGGTTAACTGGTGATTTGAAACTAGCCATAAGTGGTCCTGATAGGTTACTAGCCCTGTGGGGGAATCTAGTTGGAAGCACTTAGAGTAGTTAAGATTATAAAAGTGCTATATAAATACAATTAGATACAGTCATTTTGATGCTATACTCAACAGTGTAGGAATAACCTGCAAAATGGTGATATGTAA